CTGGTGCCTGTTGTTGGGGCCATTGTGGTGGCTGCTGTTGGATCTGGCCTGGTACCTGCTGTTGGACTGGTGCCTGCTGAATCTGTTGTTGAGGCTGTTGTGGTGGCTGCTGTTGGATCTGGCCTGGTACCTGCTGTTGTACCACTGGTGCCTGCTGACTATGTTGTTGAGGCTGTTGTGCATAGGCCATGCCTTGTTGCTGAGGTGCCATGGCAGCTGCTTGCTGTTGTGTGGGTTGGTAGGCACCCATGCCTGGAACAACTTGTTGCTGCTGTTGCTGAGGCAATGCTTGCTGTTGTGAGGCACCCATGCCTGGAGCAGCTTGTTGCTGCTGCAGGTATTGACAAGTGGCTTGCTGCTGTTGCACCTGTGGCTGATACTGCTGCTGCATAGGCTGTTGCTGCCATTGCTGCACTGGCTGTTGTTGAGCCAATTGGTGGGCACCCATGCCTGGAACAGCTTGGTGCTGCTGGGGTGTCATGATAGGTGCTTTCTGCTGGGCCTGTGCTGGCTGCATTTGTTGTGGATGGGTGGTACCTGGAGCTGCTGCGATTGCTGGCTGGCCCTGGCTGGCCTGTGTGATTGGTTGCTGACCAAGTGGTGGTGGGCCAGACCATGGTACCAGTGGCTGCACTTGCTCCTGCTGATCCACCACTGCCACCCTCTTAATTTGGCCAGTGCCAGCCATGAAGGTGGTCTGCTGCTTCACTTGTGGGGCACTACTTGGGATAAATGGCTTTTCTGGGCTTTGGCCAAGAACCAAGGTCACTGCCTGCAAGCTGAACCCTAGCTGGGGTGAAAGGGCCTTTCTATGGAATCAATGTTCAAAGTATTCCTAACTTGCTGCAAGCTGATGAGAGTCTGGTACACACTATTGTTTAATTTGGTTCAAAGTTCAAAGTAATTTTCAACTGGCCTGGGAAGAGGGCACTGATGCTGAAGAGGATGCATACCCAGGAGCTTCTTGCTGCTGTGAGGATCCAGGTGCTGTGGTGCTGCTTTCACCAGCTCCTGGTTACTGTCAGTCTGATGCTTTCAACACTTTTAGTTTTAAAGGACATGTCATTTAGATTCATTCAGACTTCCAAAAGTAAGCTGTGCCCATGCCAAATGATTTACTATTGTTTGTATAACTTTATTAAATAGTCAATCATTTCAATTTCTTGTTGGCCCTGATGCTCAAAGGATTGCCTACCCAAGCATGGCATGATGCAACTGAAGCTCCACTTGCAGCTTTGGATGGCAGCTGCTTGAGCAGGTTTCTCACCTGTAAGGCTTGCCAGTGATCCTTTGGTATACCTGAGGCACAACTTGAATGATGATAAGTCAGGCATTACTCTCAGGGCCTTCAAGTAGTGCTATGGAAACCCTCAGTCAGAGCCCAATGCATCATTACACTCAACTTGAATAAACATGAATGTAACATCATGACTTACTATGACATCAAAGTCAGCCAAAGGTTTCCAATCAGTCAGAGTATTATGCCAAGGTGCTGAGGCAGAACTCAACATACTTGGCAGCCCAATGGCTCTGGTCTTTGGACAAGCAAGCAGCTTCAGCCTTGCTTCATGTCAGACTCAGCTGAAAATGATTGAGTGATGATGACAGGCCTTTCAATGTGAATTCAAGTCAAGCCTGCCATGATATTGGTTTGACTCAATAATGCCTTCCCAGCCACTACTCTTGACCACCACTCCTGTAGGGCTTCTTGGCTGCCAAATATGTAGTCCAGCTTGAATACCACCCTCACTGACCACATGTCATGTCATGTCACAATTCTTGCACTGATCTGGTGTGCATGTATCAGAATCACTGAACAGTGGACTTGAGTTTGAAGTGGCACTTGTTAAGCAGCTCTTGCACTGATCTGGTGTGCATGTATCACAGTGGCACTTCTTAAACAACCCTTACCTCTCAATCAGCTAAGGCCAAGCAACTCTTGTGTCCAGGCTGTAGCACTGAGGAGCAAATGATAGGCAGCATGTCGATACACCATGGTGATGAGTGCCCCTGGTGGTGCCACAACATAGTTCTGGTCTCCACACCATGCAGTCAGCTCTCCTTTCTGCCTCACATGGTTGACTGTGCAAGATAACCTCTGACCTTGACCAACAAGCAGGGCAGCCTTGTGCACACCAACACACCATTTGGGGTGGCACCAAATTGAGGGCTTCTGTCACACTCAG